ATGATGGAAACCATTTACACCTTTGTTCCTAAAAAACTCATCCTTATTTCAAATGGCGCCGATTTTAACTAAAAAAAAGAAAATAAAAATGAACTAAACTTTTCCTAAAAATATGTTCTGTTCGCAATTTTATTCGTTATTTTAATTCAATTTAATGCTTAATCGAAACAAATTTAACGAAACAAATTATCGAAGTAATAAGTAATAAGTAAATAAGATATTAATTATGGGAAAATAAATTTTGTTATTGCGAATTCAGTGATATTTGATTAAATTATTTCCTTGATTTGTACGCACCTGATAGTATTATTCCGAATTTAGCCCAAATATTCTCTCCATTAATTTCCTTTCTTTAAAATCTTTTTCTAAAGCCAAAATAAACTTTTTTCTTACGCCCCATATCATCATAAAAAAATTTTTTTTTATTTCCGGCAACCAATCAACAGAACCCATAAAGGTGCTCTTTATTTGACGAACTAGCGGAATTTTGCATTTTTCTCAGCGTAGATTTCATCGCACAGCTTAATGAATTGACCCACATATGATGTTTTGAATAATTTTTCGATTAGTAATAATTGAATTGAATTCACCTTTGAAGAAATAATCTCTGTTATTATTCATAAGCTTAAGGCCAATAAGGCTCCAGGAGAACATGGTCTCTTCAAATGCTGTCCATCGTCACTTTCAACAAATGTATTTTCTGGTATGGAAGAAAGAAATATTATCAGATGACTCGAGCAATTCTGCTTACCAAGAAAGATGATAATGACAGGGCATACTGCGACGGTTATCGAGGAATGAACCTACTAGATATTTCAGAGAAAATTTTTACTTTCATTTTGCTCAATAAACTCATGGCGATATAGGTCAGCAGGATGGATGCGCCCTAATTAAATTGGATTCAGCTCGGGACGCGCTGGCCAGACATTCAATTTAAAAAGGATAATTGGAACATCGCTTCAAATATCTACAACCTACAACCGTTTCAAAATCGACTTTGCACTCGATTTAATTGATTAGGTAGCGCTTTGGAGGATGGTGAAATGTGACGGTGTTCCAAAGAAGATCATTTGGTTCATAAAGGCATTTCATGAGCGTACATCGGCGCAGATCTGTTGGAAATTGACAAACTCCTTTGAAATAAGAACTGTCCGTCAAAGCTGCATCCTTTCCCCTACAATATTAAATATGCGACAGATTAGATAATAGACAGCGTTTATCGGCACTCAAGAGATGTATAAAGCAATTCGGAGCATCACCGACCCTGAACACGCTGATTAGTAGTCCTTATTGCCGATAATTATGACGAAATGCAAATAATGCTAAACAACGTATCAGTAGCGAGAATCGGATTCAGGATCAATGTAAATGAAACGAAAGCCTTTTCATCTTATATACAAGTACAAAAAGTTAATAAAATACTTATTTTTATGAGTTCATTGCCGCTTGAGAAAGTGTCTGAGTTTAAAAATCTTGGGACCACTCTAATATCAAATGGTCAGGCAAAAAACGATATTATAGCCATGGTCATAGCAGTTCGAAATGCGTTCTTCCGGTTGACGAAACCTTTATGCAGCAGTCGTCAAATTACCATTAAAATGAAAGTCCATATCTATATAGCCGTGATTCGTTCGATATTGCTATTTGGCTGTGAGATATGAGAGTAGAGGATATTAAGAAATTATTTACCCTTGACCACTTTTGTCTAATTTACGGGTGCGCCGAGTGATAAAATCTCACATGATCGCATCTATCGTCGCTCAAATATCATCTGTTAGGGCACAGAGCTTTCGTTGGTTAGGGCATGTTCTTGCTGCCCACCGAAAGAGTTGACATATATTTTGCTATTTGCCAAACTTTATGATGGGTGCCATCAAAAGCGAGATGAATCAATCAAGACTTGGACTGACACAGTCAGGAAAGATTTTGAACGTCTACCAGCGAGGACCAGCGATATATGGACTTAGACGACGGAGTAAGGAATGGCTTCTTTTACTGCTAGAGATGGTGCTGACTAGCTTGGAGACGTTTACCCTTGTAGCCAGCGGAGCCAGCTTAACCGGCAATGGTGAGAATTTTTAGAAGACGAAGAAAAAGTTCACCTTTGGAAATTTGCAATATATTAGTGATGAAAAAATTTATTCAACTAAAAGCAAATTAGTTATCCCTCAATGCTTTTAATTTTTCTTGTTTTTTTGCAAATAATTGTTTCGGGTTTTTTTTCTCTACTTCAAGAGAACATTTATTAGTTGGATCCTCATCCATTGGACCAAGGTGAATTTCAAGGCAAATATTAAGTGTAAAATTTGATTAGCTGCTAAAGATGCCTTATATATTATTCTCAAGCGACTTATTAAGAAATAATGAGAACTATAGGTGAATAGAAGAAGAAAATGACGATGATAATAATAAAATATTGAGTTTAAAAATATATTATATTTCGAATATATATTTTCTATAATTTTAAACCGCTCAAATTGATAAAATTTTAAATGATTTTCGACGAAATATTCTTTTAATAAATATTTCCATTATATTGCAAACTTGATAAATTATCATTTAAAAAAATATTTTGGTAAAAACTTTAAGAATTTAAATTAATTTGTAAGATGAAACTCATGAAATGAAACTTTGTAAATCTTATTAACTGAAATTTCCTCTCAATTTATTTTTTTAAAGGAATGACCACACGAGAGGAGAAAAAAAGGTGATAAAGCTAAGTTTTGGAATGATATAACGATGTAGAGCGGATGCATATATAGAAAGAACAAAGAATAAGAGTAAGAGTAACAGGAGAAACGATAGGAAAAAAATGCAAACATCCTGCGGACCCCTCGTCAACACTACCATACTGACCAACTTTTTTTTTTTTTTGAAGTGCATTCACCATTGCTGCTGAGATCTGGCCTATCGGACTAGACGAACATGCCAGGCAGTTGGCGATAGAAATACAGGTGAACAGCGAACATCACCCGAGTTATAAACCAATAACCGAACAAGAACTATCTACCTTCCTTTTTTATTCTGAATGGTCTTTGAGTAAATTCATTCTGATTTTAAATAGTTTTATAATTAGATTTATTTATTTCCGTTTAAACATGATAACTTTCGCACTATTCAAAATAAATGAATGATTTTTGATCATTCTTTTTCTTAATTTAGAAATTTCTCATAAATTTTTAAATAAAGTTTTCAATTTTTTAAAATTTTCCTTTTAATCATTAATTAATTATAATAAAAATTGCCGTTTTTACATTAAAATATTTGTAATGAGGAAAGTGATATATATTTTAGATGAAAACTCGTTGGTTTAAAATTAAGTCAACATACATCACTAGGAACAGCTAAGATATTGCGCAGAACCCTCAATCTCCTAGGCTTTTGGTAGATGGCCCGAGATTTTCTTTAAGTTAATATATCATTTTCGATCATTATCACCAACAGGAGGTAAGAAAAAAGTTTTTAAAAATAATTTATATATCTATATATATATATATGATTGCCTATATTTATTATTGTTTATATCACAAATTTCTTAGAAGCAATAAAACATAATTTTTATTTAATATTTTTCTAAGAACATTAGGAACTATTTATTATTTGCTATTATTATTATTTTATTATTATTATTATTATATTATTATTATTATTATTATTATTATTATTATTATTATAATATTATTATTATTATTAATCATGAGATTCAACAAGTCATTAAGCATTCATTGAAAATATTTTTGCGCTCAAAGGCAATCATCATGAATTTCATCGGAAATCCTCTTCCAAATTAAGTTTGTACGTTATTTTCATTTTATCATTTGATGATTTTTTTTTTATTCATTTTAATTTTCACCATAAAGAATTTATGTGATACTTAGTGATAAATTACAATGATAAGCTTGCAAATTATTTGCAGTTGGAAAAAAGAATTTGAAGAAGAAGTTTTTCCCTCGCATTAAAATTCTTCTAAACTGATCAATTAAATTTATTAAATTAAAAACCGAAGACGTTTAAAATTTCTAATTTAATTCAAATTTAAAATTTTAAATTATTTAAATTAAATTTTAAATTATTTCTAAATTTTTTTAATTTTTAATATTAAATTTTTAATATTAAATATTTAGAAATAATGTGATATTATAGTGATCCAAATCGAAAAATGCAACGAAGAGGAAATGCTAAATTCTTTATTCTACCTAAAATATGACCAGTAATACAATATTATAGCATACCATATGCTTTTTTTTTAAATAGTTGATCATTAGACTCGTTCGGCGACGATAAAAATACAGGTAAGCCACCAGCATCACCTGGCTTGAGGCGCTCCAAATTGAGCAGCAACCTGCTGAGTCATTTTACTCGCCTTTACTCCATCAGGAAACGGTGGTGCGTCGGCAGATTCGAACCCAAGCCTCGATTTTCGCTAGCAGTTATCTTGCCACTAGCCACCAATGCACCATGCCTATTATTATAATATTGTACTGTTAATAATACTGAATAAACAAAAGAACCAATAATATTAGTATGCGAACTTCTTGAATTATGATACTTGGAAAAAAATATATAATTTGGAATATACTCTCTCGTACAAATCACAAAAAGAAGATTATTTACGTTGAACTTCAGGCCTTATAATAAAGAGATTGAATATTGAAAAAATGATATTATATAATATTATTTTCAATATATAAAAATGACAACATATAATATTAATTTTTTTCTTCTTACAATAAAAATTCCTCATTCGACAACTTTCATCAGCTATTTAGGATGAAATTCTTTCATCATAGAACCATTTAGGATGGAAGCATATGCTCGTTAAAGAATATATCATAGAGAATATGGTCGTTAGGTGAAATATTTGTAACCAAAATATCTTAATCTCAAATATCCTTGTCTATTCGTTGGTCCTATATACCAAAATATACTAATCTTGCTCGTCTAATCATTTGTCTTATATTTCTCATTATATTGTATTAATATGCTTTTTTTAATATTTAATGTTGTTATGGTACTTCGAATCAATTAATGTCGATTTTTTCTGGCAAAAAAAGAGATCGAATTTTTCAGGACGAACAAAGACCACTGCTGACTATCATAGTTCTAGTTTCTGGGGTGGTGGGAGGGCTTATCATCGTTATCACAATCGTATATATTTATCGCTTATGCCTCAAGAAACGTCCTCCTGTGACTACGTAATTTTTCTAATTTTATGAAATTTTTATGATTTCTCAATGAAAAGAATGATTATGGCATATTGTTGAGCGAATAATTATTCGGCTATAATAAATTCTCGCATCAAATTGCCATAAAATTTGCTTTTAATTTACATGAATTCATTTTATTAATCGCTAATTACTGAAAATGAAAGAAATAAAAAAATTTTGAGAAAAAAAATTATGAAATTTCGGAGTAAATTCTTTTTCGAATTTAAGAACCGGAAAACCTGAACATAAACGAGATCATATCAAAAGCCAGGCAATGAGCCAATGTCGACCTCTACCATTTTCCAGTCAAGTTCAAACAATCAATCAGTATCCTTCTGTGCCTTCCGAATATATGAATATTCATCCTCAGATTGATTCCGATGGTTCCATTTCCAGTGAAAATAGGTAAAGCTAAGTTTCAGGAGCGGAATTTCCTGATTTCTTTATCTAAATAATACTGCATTAAATAGTATATAATAGTACCTTAAAAAAAATCCTATCATTGGCATGCAACAACTTTTGCATTTTAAATTTGCCAAAATATCCAAAAATGGATTTATTAAGACTATTTCCTCTAATAAATTAAGTGTAAATTGGAGAGCGCTGATTATTTTCTTTTTAACCTAATTTTATAACCTATTTAGGTCAATGATAGAAGTACAAAAAATTGGAGACGATAATAACAATCGACAATTCCAACGTAGAATTCCAGGTTTGCTCGATTTGATTTTTATATTTCATTTGTCCGATTATTTCTTAAATATTTAATTAGTTTATTACTTGCGTCTCATTATCTCATTACTTATTTTTTATATTTGTGATAATTTGTTTATCATTTATTATCAGTTTAATCTATGAATTTTTAATGTTAATTAATAATCTATGAATTTTTCATGTAAATGCTTGTTTACAAAGGGATTATAACTAATTTATAGCAATTATTGAAAGCAATATTGACGATGAGGTGGATTCAAAATTAAATAAACATGACTGGAGATCGGCCTTAAAACTAACTAATGGCACACTTAATCATCCACCGTATTTTGAGAAAGAGCGTGAATACGGTATGAATGTGGCAGGTAGGTATAACTGGTTTATAATCTTAACACTTTATCACATTTTTTGGGAAATGAGAAAGATAAAACTCATCCTCGGCTCTGATGCTGAAATATATATTAAAAACCAAAAATATTTATAAATGAAAAATGGCCGTTTGTCTGACCTCTGACCCGATTTTCCAAAATGTACATAATTTTAACTGAAGGCTCTTATAAATATCTTCTTCGAACAGCCCTTGCTATTACTGATCAGATCGGCTCCGCTGGCTGAAAAACGGAATATCTAGTCAGTGCAGTCATGTGCTGGTTTGAATCCAGCATGGTTATGGTGCATCCTATTATCTCATAAGTCTATTCTATAGAAAACAAAAATTTTATCATAAACATCTAGTAAACTATTTCCTTGTTAATTTTCGCGGTAGGTCTGTCATCTTTCTTGAGAATTGTGAGCAAAATTGCTTTGCTTCAGTGATCTTATATTATATATTTCTTTCTTTCATACTAAAGAGTGCATTTGTTGAATGCGTGTTAAGAAGGACGACGGACAGCATTTGAAAAGTATCGCCTGCAGACCATCTTTTCCGAAAGTTTTTTTGGCTTTTGGATTACAGAAATCATTTCCTCTTCTATTGGCGATTCGCAATTGTAAACATATGGCTTGATGAGTGTTTTATAATGCATAGCGCTTAGATTGCGCATTGTGGTTAAATTTGGCCTTCCATCTTATTAGGCGATCCTTAATATTCATAACAGGCACACTATTGCTATTGCATAGCATTTCACTCACTCGTTCCTCTAGCTACAGTTATTGTATGAAGAAAGAGGAATAGTTTCCTATTATCACAACCGAGCTGTCATCGCTATTTCCAAGGCCATATCACTCCAATAATAATTTTTACCTCATCAAGCTATTGTCGTAATTTTTCAAAGCATCTGATCGTCTAACATTAATATTTTTAGCTTTAGCTTTAGTTTTAGTTGGATAGTTCCTTCGTATATTCAACAATCTTATAAATATCGTATTAATTGATATAAAGAAAAATCTGATTACAATTAATTTTATTAAAAATTTTATACGATTAATTTAATTAATTATATTTTATTTATTTAATTAATCTAAAGTTGATCTATTAATATTTCAGGTAATTTTCTACAAGTGAAGGATCTTCCGTCACGCACACATAGCGCAGAAATGCTGCTTGCTGTGCCAAGTGATGAAGAAAGGCGACGAGCATCGCTTGATTTCTACCAAAGACTTACTCAACGAAGAAAACTTCCAAATATTGAGCATCTACAAAGAGTTAGCCGTTATTTATTCATATTTACCCATATTTATACATTTCTAAAGTTTCTATAATTCCATTTTCAAGGATTTTTCTCAACATTTTAATATTACAAAGTTATCCATAATTTTTGTGGAGTTATTCGTTGAAATTTAGAGACAGTTAATAGAGTAAATTATTCCAATTGAAATAATAAGTTCTTTCTTATTTCAACAAAATTAAAACTCGAAACGTCTAAAATTTCTTATTTTGGAACCACAAGGCTGCAATCAATTCCTTCGATTTCTTCATAAATTTTTAACCAAATTACTTTCCAATGAGTAACCACTACATCGCACATTGCATATTGCTATTTTTTTCAAATACTTGTCATCTACAATTTGCCTTCTATTTTCGTTAAAATCTCAAACTTCTTATCTTAGTGACTTTTATGCAATATTTTCTTCATCATACAACTTCTATGATAGCAAATTCAGTTCATTTCCATAATTGCATCGTTTTTTGGCACAAAATAATTCCATATTACTGTGATTACCATAGTCCTTCGTTGACTGCCAGCAAAATTTTGAAAATAAGGAGTATCTTTTTTTAATTTTTTCGAATTACAATTAATTTGAGTAATAAATAAAAATACAAATAAGAAAATATAATAAAATAGTTGGGTATGGCAAATGGCAAATATTTACACTTTTATAAACAGAAAATATAACATATAACAAATATGTAAAATTTGCGTTTATTACACTTGTATATGTATATGTAGAATGGCTTTTCAAATTTTCAACGGTACTTTTTTATCAATTATCAATCAATTTATCAATCTGCTTATTCATTAAAACTTTTCGATAATACTTATTTTAATAATTGTGTATATGGTTATTTTTTATATATTTTCCAATATTTAATTAGTTCTTCCTTACATTTAGCCATCCATTCCTCATATGCTTCTGCGAAGTACATATGGAGTTTGCAAATTTTATTCAAGAATTCTAATTTCAATTTTGTGCCATGCATTTTATTAATAATTTACTTCTTTACGTGGAGAAAACTATGAAAAATCTTGAAATTTTGTAATATTATCGAAACTGAAATTGTACCCTAAAGAAACATTCAATGAAATATACATTTGGTAACGGCCAATGGCAAATGAACAATTCTCATGACAACGAGTAATTCTCGTCGTAAGAAATGGCAATATTATACATCATATACATTGCATGGCCAAATATTTTCTATCAATAATTAAAGCAAATGGGAATGGAATGTTTGCGAGGGAAAAAAAATTGACAATATTAATAACAATAACAATGATAATATTATACAATGATAATATATAATTGTATTTACAACTGTAAAAATAATAATAACGATGATAATAATAGTAATTATAATAATAATATTAACAGTGATAACAATAGTAATACTAATGGTAATACTAATCATAATAATAATAATAATAATGGTTCGCACAAATAACAAATATTGAACTCCAACTAATTTGATTCTCAAAAGAAATTTTTATAGTGCTTATTGCAATTGTCATAGGTAATAGGTTCTTAATTCATTGAGAAAAGGTCAAATTCTTATAAAATTATTTCTTATTTGTTATATTTGTACAGCAAACAATTACAAATACTGAATTAATTAATGAAAAATAAAAGGATGAAACTAATTAGTTTTTTTATCTTATTTGTTTTTTTATTTATATTAGGAGATGGGGGGGGATGGGTGGCAGAATTATTAATGTTCGGAGTATCACTTTGAATATCGGAACCTGCCCCTCATAAGAATAAAAATAGCATTAAAAAGACCGAGTGAGGATGAGAACCCGTTCTTTCCATCTTCCTCGTATTGTCTTATTTATTAATGTTTCTAAATTTATTATTAAAATGATAGTTTAATTAAAAGAAGATAGGAATTATCCTCTAAAGATTGGCTAATTGGTTCAGACTGCTTTGTTAGCATTTTTTTAATGAGTATGTGAGTCAATACTCACTCATTTCTACTGAACCATCGAACCATCGAATAATTTTTGCTGAAACTACACATCAATAATTTCATTTAATTACACTATTGTCGATATTTTTGGTGAAAAATTATATTATTATTTCTAATTAAAATGAAAAGAAAAAAAGATGGGTTATAATCGCTCATGAAATGGGTGAAATATTCATAATATTTATAAAAAAATTGAGTTGAATTATCATAAAATAAAAAAAAGGTTGATTAGGGTTGATCATTTTAAGAGACTACAGTTACAGTTAAAATGAGCATGAGCATGTCATGACATGGAATCTCGTTGAGCGAAAAGTCGTTTAGCACACAAATTATACATATATGTGGATTTCTTTGGCTGATTTTGTTTTCAAATTCTTATAAATGCTTTCCAAGTCCTGGAAATGGGATTTCACTTGTTGTTGATATTTGATAGCATGGATATTGGATGAGAAAGCTGGTTGATTGAGTGGTATTTTGTTTTGTCTTGTCTAAAGTTTTGTCTAAAGTTTCTACTTAAAATGATGAAAAATAGTGAAACCATCAGACGAATAATCCATCATTAATTCGATTTTTATCCTTTGGGACTAAACATTTGATTATGAAATAGTTTATCGCAAACTTTACCACAGTCAACTTTGCCTTTTGGCAGCACTCTTGGAAAACAATTTTGAAGGATTTTGCATAAATCCATCATATTTCTTCTGTCTTCAAAACCGATATTGTCCTAAAATAAAAATTTGCATTATATAATGGGTTTAGAATGGAATTGTTTCTTCAATTTTTAGTTTTCGGCGAGTGATTAAATGGTTCAGCAAATGCATCACCGTCCCTAATTAATATTTTTTATTAAAATTAATTTTTTTAAAAATCGAATAGAGAGAAAAGTGAAAAATTTCTGTTACGGTGGTTTTATTTCGATCAAATCGACTTAATCGACTAGAATTTTAATATTTAAAAAAAAACATTTGTTATTATTTGTGCTAAAATTTTAATGTTCTTTTGGCTAAAACATTAGCTGTTCATAATTTTCTGACATTTATTAAAACTTAAAAACTTAAGTGTGAAAATATTGCTAAGTAACAAATTAGTATCGTCAGATTTGTTCTATTTCATAACGTACAATGCATATATATATAAAATAAAATAATGGGATGGTAGGATAGCTCAGTTGCTCAACTGGGAGTGCCTATGCTGAGATTCGATTTCCCGCAGGAGTAAACCTGTGCAAAAATCCGAGTGATGCTGTCAACTCACCTGTATTTCTATCGCCAAGGGACTCCCTGGCATATTGTCCAATGCGACAAGCCAGTGGAGCGAGTTTAACCAGTAATGGTGAGGACTCTTTAAAAAGAAATAACAAAATAATATTCTAGTAATAACGCAGATAATTTATATGACAATTTAATTAATTATAAGTTTCGATTAAAATTGTATAAATTTGCTAAATGAATTAAAATTTAGAAGTTCTAATTTTTTTTTGAGTGAAAAATTTAATCAGTCAGAAAAATAATGTAAAAGAAAATTCAACAACCTTGTTAGGATGGAATTTTTTTATATGCGAGAACATAGCATCGCGCTCTTTAGCTTCAGCACCACAAATTTTGCAACGATATAAGGCAGTGTCTGAATGGCGATGTATATGAGTTCGAATGCTATGCTCGCAGTTTACAACTTGTTCGTGGCAAAGTTGGCATTTGAGAGTTTTCTCTCTGAAAAAAAACTTTTTTATTTATAAAATAAGCAAATTTTTTAAAAAAAAAAAAAGAATCTTCTTATTCATTATTCAATTATGAGTTTTTGAGAAAATTTTACAAAAGAAATTCTTTTATCTTCTATTGAAACAATCACAATTTTATCTGTTTAGTTTATTTTAATGAATTTAATTGTCTAATTATTTTCACCTTAAAATATTTTTCAATTTAACATTTAAATGTGTTGAAAAAAAAAACAAAAAATATGCTGAAGAAATTTTTATTTTCTACTTGAAAGCCAGAATCAGATGTTTTTTCTCGCTTATTTTCCCAGCGACTCTAAAGTGTACATCACTAAAGTGGACTAAAGCCAAGCCAAGCTTTTAGCTTTTAGGTAGGAGCATCAATAATGACTCGCGCCTCATTTTTTCGGTCGATTTGGTATATATAAAGTAGTCGAATCTAAAATATTTCTGCTACATTCTAATAAATATTTTATTATTTCTGATTCGTCAAAACAAATTCTATTTATCGAGAGAATTAGAAATCCACAAATGGTTTATGGCTTTACCGATTAAGAGAGAGGTTTATGAATAATGGTTTATGAAAAGCCGTATCCGTCCTCTTCACAAATAAGGAGCAAATTAAGAAATGAGATTGAAAGCGATGGAATTGATGATTATTTTTTTAAAAGAAATAAGACACGAATGGAATACTATAGTTTTTCCATGGATCACCAATAAATTAAGATCGAGTAATTAGTTTTAATTTTTAAGTTTTCAGGCTTTTTTCAGGCTTTTCATACAAAACATTAAGAGATGAATAACTAAATTGAATACTAATTTAAATCGAAAAAAAACATCGCTTATGTTTAGGAATATTTTCAATTAGAAGAGAAAATTTTTTCAAGTGCCCTAAAGCTATCATTTAAGTTAATGAAGAAAAATTTCGATAATAAATTTAATATTCACCAAACATAAAGAAAAAATTATCATTTCGATATAAATTTTATTTTAAATAATTCCTAATTATTGTTTGTTGAAATATGAAAAAAAATTTCAGAATGATTTAAAATAAAATATTTGTTTTATTAATATTTGATAAATAAAATGATAAATGAAATTTTGCGAAATTCATAGCTTAGCAAACGATATTTCAAATGAGAAAAAACGATTAAATGGTTAGCAAATACAATTTCTGGATAAACTGATAAATTTTATTCTACTGGCGATTACTGGCGATAAGAAATTTTTGCGAGGAGCAATAGAAATCATCATCCATGGAAACTTATTCATAGGAGAAGAAAATTTTCATTTTAAGCTAATAAATTTAATAATAAATACTTTAAATTTTTATGAAAACTTTTTACTTCTGTCTTAATGCTTTGATCTTACGATAGAAATCGATGTGAGCTTTACGTTGACCTCGAGCTAATTCTTTGTCATCAATGCTTTCGACATCAACAAAATAGAATTCGTTATCATCTTCAGCATGTTTCATTTCAGTTGAAACAATTGATGATGCGATAGTTGTTTGCATTGATTGTCGTTTATTTTTTTGTGATTTTATCGTTTTTCCTCAAATTTTCATTGCTTTCTTTTAAAATTCATTAAATTTAGAAACAAATAGAAATATTCGTTTTCTAATTCAACCAACTCATCTACTGAGAATTTCTAAAAAAATTTTAAGAAATTTGGCTATTATCAAAATTCACCTAAGGCTATGTTTAAGCTATGTCTTTGCAAGGACGCACTTAACTAACTCATGAAATCACTATAATTTAATAAATACTTTTGAGATGGTTATTTATACCTATTGATGAATGAATCGAGTCCTGCATCGCATTACGAGTTGTTGATGCTTTTCTGCGAATTGGTTCCATTTGCGAGCATTTCGATAAATTTTGTGAGAATTGAGGTGCCATACATGATTGTGAAATACCTTGCAGTTGCCCACTGTTTTGTGGTTGTCTGACTTGCAGATACCAATCCTGCAATCCGTTTAATAGCATTTTCTCTTTCATTTCATTGAAATTGAGATATTGACTATTTTGAGCGATTTGATATGAAGAGGGTGAATATAATGGATTCACATAATTTAATTGGTATGAATTAGCATCGATTGATAACGACGTTTGTTGTAATTTTTGTTGTTCAATAAGCGGTAATGAGGAATATTGAAATGAAGTTTGAAATGCTGAAGAATCCCACGGTTCATTTATTTGTGTAGGCAGTGATAACGATGCTTGTAAATTTGTTTCATTTATCAGTGACGTTGTAAATGGAATGTTTTGTGATAATAAAATATCATTTATAGCACGATGTTGAGCCAAAAGTGAAAATAATTGGTTTTGATATTGGATAGGATCCATTCAATTCGAAGCGTTAAATTTTCGTTCTTTTGTTAGGATTTACTCTGTAAATAAAAGCGATTACTGATTTTAATAATAAATTCTATAGCAAATAACGAAATTCGACCGATTTTCTATCAATTTTTCCTTAATTTATTTCATTACAAAAATAATGGAGAAATTTCTTACTTTTACTATTATTACAAAAAAAATTTAATTAATTTAAAAATTAACAAATTTAACAAATTAATTTTATTAAAATTAATTAATAAATAAATTAAATGAATAAATAATTTCAGCATTAAAATAGAATAGCATACCATTCATCGACTTTTATTTTTACGCTTTAAAAATTTTGCCAAAAACGCCGAAATTTCACACTTCACACTTATACATAACATACATACATATATACATTCAAACGTTCATATTGATAATTGGCATTGATTTTCGTCAAGCGAATTATTTTTATGTTAAACAGTCAGTCATAATTAATAGTAATAAATGATTTGAATTTGAATAGATTATTAATAATTTCCATTTTTGAAATTTTTTCTCTTTCTAAAACAAATTTCTCTCAATGAACTTTTTCATTGCTGAAAAAAATACTTTTATTTTTTTCAAACTATAAAGATAACAACGATCGTTGATAAATTTCCATCGAATCCTTTTTCCGTAACTTATAAGCAATTAGCAATAGATTGCTTATATATCGAAATTATTTCGTTGAAAATCAAAAAAGAATGATTTTTAAAAGAAATTATGGATTTAAGAAGAAAACTAACTTATTTTTGAGAAAATTCTCTTCAATAATAATTTTTTTATTTATAGATTTATGAAATCTTTTCAAAGAATTTTTGATATAATTATAAAGATTTCATTTAATGCAGAAATAGGGAAATAATGAATTCAGCCGTAATGGATTGTAGTCAAAATGAATAAAATATTGGAAAGAGAAAGTGAACTAATTTTAATGCAATTTCCACAAATGGCTTTTGATAAATGACAAATTCGTTAGAGTAAATAAAAATGCCTTAGAATTATATCAATGTAAGTTTAAGTTGATAAAGAGTAAGTAAGTTTTAGTTAAGAAAAAGTAGCTTAGTAGATAAGTTTTTTTTGAAGAAATTAGGAAAATGAAGTCATTTTCGCATAATTGCTTCTCTTCTCATCGAACACTTTCATACACTTTCATTTGCTTCTTTTAATTCGCGAAATATTTCATTTTTTTTTATTTAAATAATTTCTCTCTTATTAGCTAAATTATTATATGAAAATTATTGTTTATTTTATGGTAAAATATAGATGTTTCACACTAAAAAATTCACTTGATTGAGCATCACTCTGGAAAGTGATGGAATGTGACGGTGTCTCAGAGAAGATCATTCGGCTCATAAAGGCATTTTATCAGCATACCCTGGTCTGTGTATATGGGGAGACTCCTTCGAAAGAATTAAGAACTGGTGACCGTCGGGGTTGCGTTCTATTTCCCACAATATCCAACTATAAACTGATAGACTGGATAATGAGCGTCGGCACTCAAAAGGTTCAAATCAGTCGAAAGCATAGCATCATAGACCTTGAATACGCTGATGATGTAATCTTTTTTGCTGATAGTTATAATGAAATCCAAATAATGTTAAACAATGTGTCAGCAACTGCAGTGATTCAGTTAATGTAAATAAAACGAAAGTGTTTTCGTCTTATATACAAGATGCCGATAAAATACCTATTTTTATCAATTCATTGTCGGTTGAAGAAGTGCCTAAGTGCCTAACTTTAAATACCTTGGATCCACTTAATCCCACAGAAATCTCACATCTAATCCCAAATGGCCAGGCAAAGAATGAATAGCTAAAAATTTGTTGATGAAATCTCTATGGAATTGTCGCAAAATCACCATACAAAAATCCATATTTAGATGCAATTCGCTCTATTTTGCTATATAGTAAACACGGCCAATGAGAGTGGAATATACTAAGAAGTTACAACCTTCGCCCACTCTTGTCTAAGATACATTCTACGGATCCGTCGAGTAGATAAAATTGCACATGGCTCAACCCACCTTCGCTCAAATACCACCTGAATTAATAATGTTATCAAAGAGCGACTCTTTCGCTGGTTAGGGTACGTTGTCCTTCATAAACCACAGGAGTTGACATATATTTCATTACTTGCTAAATCTTGTGATAGTTGGCGTCAACAGCGAAGAGTGCCCGTAAAAACCTTGATTGATACGGTTAAAAAAGATTTTGAACGTATAAGGGGACCAGCGATATATGGATTTAGACGATGGAAAAAGGAATGGCTTCTATTACTATCAGAGATAGCTTGGACGAATAGCTTGCAGACGTCTTAGTTGTAGCCAGCGCCTAACCAGTAATGGTGAGAACTCTTAGAAAAAGAAGAATTTATTAAAATTATTAAAGCGGTGATCATCAGACTTTGCTCCTAGGGCTTCAAAAATCTATGCTTCAAAATGCTTCAAAAATCTATGAAAAAATCTATACAATATTTTCAAATTTTAAAATAATTGTTGAATTTTTCTACATAAAAAAATTTTGAATGAATTATCATAAACTGCATAAATTAATCATTGAAAATGATTTATTATTATCAAATCTCAAAATCGCAGTTATGCTACATTTACAGTCAACGGTAACTGTGAGCTATGAGATACGTGGAAGCCTCATTAAGCCTCATTATTATTATATTAGTGACTTAAATTACTGAAATATTCCTTAGAAATTGGAAAAGAACTTTTTTTTAAAAATTTTCCAGTAACTTTCTTACAGTTTTAGTTAAAAAAATAGATTTCAAGTGATATAATCGAATCCATAAATAAAACTGTACATTGTACTTCGGCTAAGAATAAATAGCGAGCACTGTAACCTTAATAACAAAATTGAAATCCAAGTGGTTGTTTGAGGTTAATCCAAATTCTTAAGTGACTCTCTTACGAAGAGTTCTCATCGAAATAGTCAGTGAAGCGAACCAAAATAAAACAATACTCAATTATTAGTAGAAGAAAAAGAAATAATTTTAGTTATAGAGTGGTTTCGAAAAATATTGATGTATTTATTTGCTAATTTAATATTGCAAATACTTTTATTATCGTCCATTTCAACTTTAGAAAATCAGAAGTTAAATAAAAAAGAGTAAATACAAGAATTATTGCTGTTATTGTTATTCTTTATTGCATATTGAAAAAATCGTTAATTTAGAAAATTAAGAAAAATGAATTTCATTTTTATTCTAAAAAACCTTATGATTAAATCTTATTTCTTCTTCTTTGCATCGAAGAAAATTGCAGAAAAAAAAAGAAAAAAGATAAACGCAAGTAAAAAATGAGACAAACTGATAATATTGATTAAGTTGATAATGGTATATGATAAGATTTATAAGCTTAATGGCTTTATTTTTGTAGTATTTTAATTTTGTTTTTTTTTAAATAAAAACAAGCAATTTGATGGGGTATATGAGAAAAGCGAAGAACCAATGGAAAATTCCTAGGTGGGTGAATCGGCAGCAGATATCTGGATTCTGTTTTAATTTCTCTCAATGAACAAGAATTCAACGAATCATTTCAGCGATTAGGCGAACCAGTAGCGTCAGTAAAAACACCTTAGAAATGAAAATTAGAAAATTTTATTTCGATTCTTTTTTTAAAATATATGTAAGTGATTGAGTAAACTGATTGCGCAATTGTAGAAGTCCTTGAAAAACATTATTTAACTTTTGTTTTTCCTCGTTTCTAAAAATAAAAACTTTTCAAAAATATTTATTATAAATATTTTTTAGCCGTATGGCAAGAAGAAATTAATATCCATTTCAGCAGTATCTCTTATTAATTTTCACTAGAAAAAGAAATTTGAACCATTAATTTATCGAAATTGGCTATTTTGATGAAATTTTTAGTGAAAAAAACGTGGAAGAGATATGGAAATAAATAAAAAGAAAGAAAGTAGGCAATTAGATAAAAAACCTCGGATCATAAGCTCTGAATCGAGTCTAAATAGCGATTGCTGTGCAATTCTATTGCTATAAAATTTAATTTAGCGACTAAAACTTAAGGATTTAGGCCCATTCTTTACTCATTTCAAATAGTAGAATCGAGACAAAAAATTTTGAAAAAATTTTCATATTTTTTACATTCACTTTATTTTATTTGATAATTAGTTGGTAATTAATTACTTTCTTATTAGTTTGTAAAAAGAGGCGCGTCGGTAGTTCAATGGATGTCATCTTTGTCACTGAGAGCACTTCCGCCTAACAGAGGAAAATAAGAATAGAATGGCTTGGTGAGCTGTTGATGAATTCGGGAAACCGCTACTGCTTTCGTGACGAATAAACCTGGTCAAAAGGCCAGTGATGCTGGCGATTCACCTGCTTTTCTGTTGCCAAAGGGACTGACTACCTGGCTTATTTGTCTTGCTCGGCAGAGCAAGTCTAATCAGTAATAAAAGTGTGCTCTTAAAAAAAATTCATAAAAATCAACCTTATAGTAATATAGACTACTCAAAATTTTTACCCTAAGGAAATTTATTTAATATTTTCAGGACTTTTGCTTATTGCTTTGGTTTATACTACTGAAATTTACCGTTTTCGAAATTAAAAATAAAAGTTTTTTTATAACATTCATTTTTTATTGAATATTCGTTCTTCATCATTTGAAACTTTTCTCTCTAATTCGCTCTATAAAATTCAAAATTCTACGAAAGCTTGGCCAAAAAATAATATAAAATATCTTAAGCTGTTAGCCCATTTACTTTAAAAAAAAGCGTGACAGCAACGTCTCAGTATGATAATAAAATCAGCTTTGACTTCATAGACCTCGTTGAACATAGTCATTGGACAGCCATCGAGCGCCACAAGCGTGGATTCAAATATTGAAGTGAAATTGGCAGAACATTCCAATATTCAGTTTTGAATTTATAAAATTTCCTTCGACACAATCAATAGAGGCACTGCTCTGAAGGATCATACAAACAATGGTCTTAAAGCAATTTGCCATCGTACGA